GTATTAATAAATTCTCTCTTTTTTTTAAAAAAAATATTCATTTTGTTTCACCCTTCAATTTTCCCATCTTGCATTTCTAATTTTTGTAATGCAGTTGAATAGGTGATGATGAGGATACTGGAACTGCTGTCCTGGAACTTTGTTGACAGCATTCTGTATGTAATTTTTGTGATGAATTTTAGATACTTTATTGGTACCATTGGTTCCATGGAGGTTCTCATAGTTTAGATATGGGAAGATACAAGGGAGCAATATGTTTAATGAACGAGAAACCATGTCTCTTCTGGTTCTTTGCAAAATTTTGCATAAAGAACCAATAGTTCTATTTGTTCTCCTGATGCACTTTATGTTAAGGACAAATTACTTGCAGTACAGTCAAATATATATGATATCTTGGAGTTTGTTTTCTTTATTCCAAATTGTTGTCTACATGGAATATGAAATAATGAAATTGGCACCCAATATTGGAGGGAGAGGTTCTATTATCATGGCCTGCCAGTAATTGGTTGATAATAGACCTAAATGTATTGTATTTGGTGGAATTATTGAAGCATGAAAAAGGGAAAAGGAGCCTTCCTTACATAGGCCTTTAGAACAGGGTAGTGAATTTGTGATGGTTTTTAGCAGACTTGGCTGTGCAATTTATATCCCAGATTTTAACATAATGTAATGAACATTGTTAAATCGAGCATGTGGGCTTCAATCGATTTCATTTTCTGATTTATTTTTCTTGGACCCATACCTTTTGGGATTGGATAATTGGTCCATTCTGTACGTGCTTCCTAGTCATATAAATATCTATAAGTTCTCAAGCTTATTTCTTCTACAATTCCATTGCTTTTAATAGTTTCTCGAGTGGTGGTGAAGATGGCTATGTAAGACTGCATCACTTCGATCCAGACTACTTCAGCATTAAGATGTGAACATGGAATTATGAGGTACTCTCTTATTGCCCTTGCCCTGTTTTTGTTTATAGAAAGGATGAAGTGAAAAAGGATAAAGATATCATTGTTGTTGCATCAATTGGTATGTTCTATCTTTCAGATTTGGTGTCATGCAACCGTGCTAGGGGGATTTCAGACTTTGTGACTTGTATGAATGATGAAGAGTGGGGACTTCTGTTGTTGGTAACTCTATATGGTGCATTGTAACCTTGGATTGACCCTGACATTTGTTTTGCACTACTAATATCATAACAGTATCAAGACTTTTTTTGGGACAACGAGTTGCTTCTGTAGGTACTACTGTTTAATCAACAAATAAATTTTGTTTATACCGAGTTTTCAACGAGTTAGCGCATCTATCATCTGCAACTGCTTTCATCATCAGACATTTTGGCTACAAAGGCATTTGGTAGTACTGCTGCTATTCCATCAGGGCAACCTTGTGTGTTTAATGTCATGTAATGATTGGGTTGGCTGTTATCGCATGCATTGTGATCGTTTGCAGTGTACTTATTGTGTTAGGTTCTCAGTCTGGTTTGTCTTGTTTACTATTCAGATGGAAAGTGAACGGAGGGTTAGTTATAGGTTATCTTTTTAATTAATTATCTTTACTAGTTTGGTCTTTATATTTTTAAAACTTACATTGGGATTCGTATACTTACGAAAGTGAAATATTTAATCTTGTTTCATCTCATGTTATCGTCCTCGTTCACGAAAATATCATATTGATATTAAAATAGGATTAAAAAGATAATTTTGTAAGTTATTTTGATTAATTTCTCTTGATTAATTTCGACCTCTCAGGAAGAAAGCACAAGACTTTGAACTTTGAAGAAGTGCTCCTCATGAGCAGATCACGTGGAATTAAGTCATTGTTTATGTTGTCCTCCTCCTTCGCAAGCTTTGTGGCGAGGAAGGAATTTTAATCTAGACTAATCGTGTTCTAATGGGGTAGACCACCATTACAATTGTAACAGTAGGGCAGGTCCAAATTCGATGCCGATATAGCCCCATTCACATCTTCCGAAGCTAGTCCCCCAGTTCACGTGCTCCACATCCTTGGCGTCGATCCCCTCCTTCCGTCATAGTAACCATCATCGTAGTTGGTGGAGTTCACATCGGCGCTCGTCAGTTATCAACCCTTGACACCCACATATGCAACCAATTTCGATGAGTTGGATGAGGCCCTCACTATCGGCTATGAGGCCGAGTATGGTGGCATGCCCAAGAGCCGTTGGTTGTGCCAAGAGACGCTCTCGCTGCTCAAGATCCACTTTGAGATGGATGCCACCTTTAAGGGCCCTCTCTAACGTCTCGAAAGGTGACGTCCATCTCGAAGTGGATCTTGAGCAACACAAGTGTCTCTTGCCACAACCAGTAGCTCTCAAGCATGCTACCATGCTCGACCTCATAGCTGACGGTGAGGGCCTCATCCAACTCATCGAAATTGGCTACATTTGTCTGTACTGAGGGCCAATGACTAATAAACACTAGTGCAAACTCCACCAACTGCGACAGATGGAGGGGCCCAACGCCAAGGATTTGGAGCATGTGAGCTGGGGGCTGACCCCGGATGACACGTATGGGTCCATATCAATACTGAACTGGGACCCACCCTATTGTTGTTGTTGTTGTGGTTGCTACTGATGCTACATGGCACTGCGCTCATGAGAAGCGCTTCTTCGAGGTTCAAAGCCTTGTGCTCTCTTTTTAAGGAGCCAAAGATGGATAGATGTTAGCCATGAGCAGAATCGCAAGCGAGAGGAATTAATCGATATAACTTATGTAATTATCTTTTTACCTTATTTTAACATCATTTTTCACATGTAATGGATTTTCGTTAATATAGTTGATGGCTTGAGGAAAAATAAGATTAAATATTTTATTTTCATAAGTATAGGGAGCTTAATATAATTTTTAAAAATATAAAAATTAAAATATTAAAGATAATAAGTAATTAGGCAGAATATAATGTCAAGGAGCTCTATATCGGGAAGTTCGGAAACATAACAAAGTCATCAAAAGTAACTTTGTACGAGTTCTAAGTTATCAATGGTTACCATCCTAGTTGATGGGAATGGAATTAGATTAACGTGTCAATCACATTGCTTCTTCATTGGTTTTGCCATCATCGTACCTTTTGTTACTTGTATAATTGGTAGGAATAATGATGGGTATTGTACCGAGTATCTATTATTTTTGCTTGTGTAACAACAATAAGTTGTACTGTTTCAATTATTTGAGATGAAATGCTGTAAAAGTTGTTTTTAGTTAAATTAACAGTGTTAAATTTTTTTATTTATTTATTGTTAATTATATAAATTAATTATAATTATTTTTTCATTTGTACTTCCAATTAATTAGTTCAAAAAAAATTTGATGAGTACTCCTAATATGATGCAAGTCAAGATTAAACCAATAGATATATTCGATCATGGAATATAATATGTTATGTTTTTTGTCATTATAAGCAAGGTTTATCGCACCGAGTTGTATCGCTGGCGATACATATCGATCTGATAGGAGGATCGGTATACGGATCATCCTCTATCGGGTAATACATATTATATGATCATATAATGAGCTATACGGGATTTGTATCTATCGGTAACGATCGAATTTCGATCATTACCGATCAAAAACTTAAATTTTCCTACTTTAAATGGTCAATTTGATCGTTTGAACTTATGAAAAAGAATTTTAAACCATTTCCTCCACCATAATTGTTCGCTCAGTGTGCAAAGACAAAGGGAAGACAATAGCAACAGTCGCATCGTTGGAATGAATCAAGTAAGGTGATGAGACATCTTCTCAATTATATTCAATAACCCACTTAGTCCAGAGACATAACAATAACATGGATAGTAGTGCCTTATCGATGATAGTGATAATGTCGAAGAGTCGATGGTCCTATCTACATAACTGGATGGTGGTGCATGGATCGAGAAATAGTATTTTATATATGTCACCCGAGATTCAGATTATGAGGTCAACGAGATATTAATCAAGTTTATACATGAAAAGGAAAGGGAAAGACAATGGATGATTTTGAGTAGATGCAATAGAGCCTATACGACATAAACACAAGCTCATTGTATTCACAGCTGTCGTATTATAGAGAATCTTATGACCAACAACAGTAAAGTTATAGTTATTCATACTTCTCCAAGTAGTAGTATAATAATTAATCTTATAATAGGAAGCAATAAATGAATAATGAAAGTAGAAGCTTTAATATTCTCCATACCCCACGCTAATATATGCCACAATTGTTCTTGCCTTATAAGCTATCTCAGGCACATGTGATTCACGATGATTACACTATGATAATCAATATATTGATACACTAAAGACATGTATCAATATATTATATCATGTGTTCATTTTAAGGATTGTGTTTGACAAATATATCAAATTGATATCCATATATATAAAATCGAAAACCTTTCTATTGCACATAGAGTCCCATTATTACTTTTTACTAGTAGAATCATATATATTCATCGATTGATTATTTAAATTTTAAAATCAAGTTATTTAAAAAATAATATAATAATTAAAATTATTTGTTCGTAGATAATTCAATATTAACGAAAAAAAATCCTAAACATACTACAAAATTACTCCATAAAATCCAAAAAAAAATATGTCACTATTCTTTCCCACTTTAAATTATATTTACTAAAATTATATTAAATTTATATTTATTTCTAATTAAAAATTATAATTTTTTTTTTTAAATTAAAGTTATTTTTGATAATTCATTTCGTTTGTTTTTGTCCAAGTCAATTCCTCTTTTCTTCATGAGTATTAAGGGAACATGACTCTGCAATCAGTTGTTAGAATAAATAAGTGTTCATATAAATTTTAGATATAAAAAAAAATTATCAGGATTCAAATTCTCGACTGAGTGAATTTACTACACTATCATCAGATAAATTTTTAGTTTCATAAAATTTTCGCTATTTTCGATGGAATTTAGTGACGTCAGATACGGCGGCGTATATATATTCTTAAAATTTATAGGGTTAAATACCCCTATTTTGAAACCTCGGAAGGTTAGACGTGTAAAACCAAACTGTTGCCGTTAAAAGACAACGGCGTCGTTTCTTCGCCCTCCAGCTCTTCGTCTCCTCCTTCACCGCTCTCCACCGTATCGTGTGCCGCCATGAGCTTCGACTTGGTGCTGAAGCCGTGCTGCGATGGGTGCGGGTCGACGTCCGACCTCTACGGGAGCAATTGCAAGCACACCACGCTCTGCCTCTCCTGCGGCAAGACCATGGCGACCAATCGCGGCCGCTGCCACCTCTGCGGCGCCTTCATCACCAAACTGATCCGGGTGAGCGCTTGATCCCCCTGTCAACCCAATCGGATCCGAGTCTTGCAGTTCAGACCTCGGGCTTTCTTTCCCTTTCCTTCTTTAGGATTTTGTCGGTTTTCGCAGACGTTTCAAGGTTAGGGTTTCGTCGATCTGAATCGGGGTGTTTTTTTTTTTCTTTTCTGATATCGATGGATTTGTATTTTGGTAAAGAGCAGGATCTGGAGTAGACATTTCGTTCAAATTCGATGCAAGATTTTTAATTCTCCTGATCAGAAAGGGGTTTTCCCTCCTTTCTTTGTCACCATATAACCTCTAAAAATGTTCCTCAACATGCCTTATCCTAGATGCTATTTCTATTTTTTTTCAGGTTAGGGTTTTCTTTGCATCGGAAGATTAGTGTTTCTTTTGATGTTGTCCGATTTCCCTTCTTAATTTGTGGTGCACTTGTGGTGGGTAAATTTATAGGACTCTTCTATGGTTACTTAATTCGGATGTGTGTGAAATTTGGTGTTTGGACAATTGAGGCAGGAGACGTAGAATCTACCCAATAGAAACCACAAATTTTGTTCTCCTGGTCCAGAACGGGTTGCTTTGTTGCCTTTCCAAGTGTATGACATGTGATCTCGTGCCAAGACGCACTCTGTCCAAGCATTATCATGTATTCGCTTTGAGTGTATAGTTTGATCAGTTGATATTTGAATTGTATTTAATGGTTCACGATGGATGTATATTTTAATGGTATAGATAATATAATTAGATTATAACATCCCAGTTTAGTTCCACATCGGAAATAGGTTAAGACTTGGATTAATTCATAAGGTCTAATGGGTTTATTATTGTTCCATTGACTTAGATTGTCAAAGGTACATCTCCTGTTCCTTGGTTTTTGGAAGCCATTTTCTCCAATATTGCTTCTGTTTTAAAGCAATTTTCAGCTTCAAACACTCTTCACCTTCCTAGAGAGCTCTTTGGTAGACTAGCTGTCTTTGGTATATATCTGGGATCTCCTTTTTTGTAATGCAGATGAACTTACTATGGCTTAGTTTTTAATTAACCGGTAAAGCTTACTTCTTACTTAAGCATTTTGAGCTAGTGGTTCAGGTTCAACAAAGTTAAAGAATTGTATAGGATCATGATATAGATACTCAAGTAAAGAGTTGTGTAGGATCATGATATAGATACTCAAGTAAAGAGTTGGTGAATAGTGATATCCATACGTGTGGGATATTGATGATTGTTTAATACATTATTTAAGTATTTTTTTTCCTGTAAAATAGCTAGTAGGATACTGGATATTTTTCATTTTTTTTCTCGGATATTTTTTTATTTTCCCTAACTCAAAGTTTTCACTTAAAACTTTGTAATTCTAATATCATATTGTGGAGTTTTTGACTAGTCATCTCTAGCTTTCCTTTTCTTATCTACAGAATATACAATTTTATGTTCAATATTTTGCATCTATAGGCCAATATCAATTATATGCCTACTGTCTCATACTTTCTATTTATTTCTGTAAGATTCATACTCTCTGGATGAAGCTATATGCAGAATTTGCTGAAATTTGTTGTTCTATGTGCACGAGGATACATAATATTATTTCTTGAGTTGTCAGAGTTGTCTTCTTAGTATTTCTGTAATGGTCCATCGAATGTAGTCTTTTGAGAACTAACCATAGTTTATAATTCATTATTCAGTGGCTGTTAAGACAATTATTATTGTCCTACTGTTAAGATTATATTCAACAGCTGTCAAAAACTCAGAACAAATCGAACTCCCGACGTCCCAAAGCCAGTGAGGCTTTTCAGAGAATATATTTTCTTTAATTATTTACTTGCAACAAAAAACTGCATTTGAGATAACAATGCAGAACAACTCTGAATGACTTGCTACTATACACAGCATGTTACGGTAGGCATGTATTATCATAGTAGAACAAAATTTTTTTTTGACATTTGTTATCTAGACTGCCTTTTCAAATCATCAAATGGTTATATTCTTTAGTGTGTTATTTACATTCTGTTGTTATATACTTGCATATATGTATTGTCCATGGAAGATTCTCTAGATGGATTCCTATTAGAAAATGGTAGAGCTTGTCATTGGAACTTACAAAATTCATGGTTGCGTCTACTTGATCTAGTTGTAACTTTGCTTCTTCTTTCCTATATAGGAATATAATGTACGGGCAAGTGCCAACATAGACAAAGCTTTCTATATCGGTAGGTTTGTAACTGGCTTGCCACCTTTTTCGAAGAAGAGTTCAGAGAACAGGTGGTCTCTTCACAAAGAAGGCCTTCAAGGACGCCAACTCACTGACACTTTGAAGGTATGCACAATCATCACCATGCTCTATGACCTTTCTTTGCATTTGTTTCCTTTATGATTACTTTATATAAGATTGGGCCGGTTACCTATTGTGTTCTTGCAAAAGGTTACAAATACAAATTATGGCTTATTAGTAAAAGGACATGATGCAAGGTAGTGTATTTTAGGTATAATTTTGGTTAGGCTAGTTCAATAAGCTATAGACAAGATGCAAGGAAGTCAAGTATAATCTGTTTGGTTTGTTCATATGAATATTAACGGTCCGAGCCTAAACCGAGATGTGAACTGCTCCTATTTCAAGCAATTCTGTCCAACCTATCAACGAAAATGAACTCTTTCAGTTAGGGCTCGCGCACACAAGCCCTCTCTGTATGCACGGACTTTGCGCCCTGTTTTTTGTATGCACACCTCCCTCTGCCCTGTCACTTACCACCTTTCGCCACCAACCTCCATGCCACACATCAGACGCTGCTGATCTCAGGTATGCACCCTTCTCTCCTCTTCTTCCTCCTCCTTCACCGCCTCATTCTCCTCCTTTTCCTTCCTGTTCCTCTTTCCTCCGCCACTTCCTCCATCCCCTCCTCTTCTTCTTCGCCTTCCTCCTTCCTCCATCCTCCACTGCTTCCTCCATCGCCTTCTCTTCTTCTTCGGTTTCCTCCTTCCTCCTTTTACTCAACTGCCTCCTTTTCTTCCTTCCTTTCCTCCTTCCTCTCTCTTCTTCTTCCTCCTCTCTTCCTCCACCACCTTCTCTTCTTCCTCTTCCTCCTTCCTCCTTCCTCCTCCTCTTCTTCTCCTCCTCATCTTCTTCTCTCAGTATATATTGGTGTACCATTTGTCAGTCCACCGGTACTGACAGTACATACTGGTCTGACCAAGGAAGTACCCGACATGAAATTGCAATCCATGGACAAGACAACCAATAGAATAGTTCTTTGGCTTTAGAATTATTGAATTGATTTGTCAATCTAATTTATTTAGGTGTCTTAATCACCTTAAGGGTTCCAAAGTTGTTCCTTTTGTTCCATTATTATTTGTTGCAGTATTTCATGCCTTAAGTAGAATGATAAACAAGAGGATTTGTTGCAATAGTTCATGGCTTAAAATAGAATGATAAACAAGAGGATTTGTTGTAATAGTTCATGGCTTAAGTAGAATCATAGACAAGAGGAAGGATAGATCTCCATGGCTCCATGCAGGTCTTTGGGAGGAAATTGAAGAAATTATTGTTTCTCATTCTTGTAACTGAGAAATGACAATATCTTTGTCTTGTCAAACAGTATAGTTAGTTTTTTTAAAAAATATATTTGCTATCTTTAGAATGTAGGAGCTCTATGATCAAATTGGAGCAAAGGCTCCCATGTTCTTATTTGAGACAATGTATGAGTTTGACTTGCATCTGCATTATGCATTGTTCTTCGAGAATCTGTACTTAATAGGAACATAACAGGAATCTGATAGTTGTTATAACAACATATGATTTTGTGAACATGAGCATTCTGGATGATTTTGTATGTTTTAGATTTTAAAGGACTTGAGGTTATTTATGTGGAAGTCTCTCGACGCTAGTTTTTTTGCGTATGTTTTTATTTAAATATCAATGTCTGGCGAGTATGGCTGTTTGCCCTTATTGGTATTGGTATACCTTTCTTGAATTTAGATGTACTTAATGGAATGGTGCAGGAGAAGTACAAGAATAAACCATGGATATTGGAAGATGAGACTGGCCAGCATCAGTATCAAGGTCAAATTGAGGGCTCACAATCTACAACTGCTACTTATTATTTGCTAATGATGCATGGGAAGGAGTTCCTTGCTTTTCCTGCTGGTTCCTGGTACAAGTTTGTTTGTGGAGTTATGTATATTGTTTCCTTGTCACTTCTGAAATCTCCTAGCTGTCCTTTTGTTTTCTCTTGGTTTCTGTTTTGTTCCCCCATCTTTCGCGGGCTAAATAACAAAAGATTGTTCATTTGCTTGGTTTGCTCCTTTTGAGGATTGTTGCAAATTTATATGAGATGAGGTTATAAATTATATCCATATTTATTGTCGTGATGCCTATACTATGTATTCCAAGTTGCTTTACATCTCATAATTGTTGGCCAATACTCAATCGTGAAGAGGTCTTATGTCTCATAATTCCAAGTTGCTTTACAGGTACAATTTTAGCAAAATTGCACAATACAAGCAATTAACTTTGGAAGAGGCTGAAGAGAAAATGAACAAGAGGAGACATAATGCAACTGGATATGAAAGGTGGATGATGAAGGCAGCAACTAACGGGGCTGCTGCTTTTGGTGAAGTAAAGAAGAATGAGGAAGCAAGCAAAGGTGAGGCTGATGGAAGCAGTCGCCTTAAGAAAGGAAAGAACAGTGATGATGGAGAGCATTCTGACAAGGGTGAAGAAAATGAGGATGAAGAGGAGGCAAGAAAGAATAGGCTTGGACTGAGCAAAAAGGGTGTTGATGATGATGAAGAAGGTGCAAAAGGGGGTGAATTTGATCTTGATGATGATGACATTGAAAAAGGTGGGTCCCAGTGTTACTGTTGTTGATGTTTTTAATACCTGTAATTTCAGAAAAGCTCTTTCAATAGTGGTATAATAAATCATGTATAGTGTTGTCTAGTTGTCTATAAGTTCATGGTCATAGAATATCCAGTTACAGATGTTCACTGAATAAGCTAAACCAAGTCACCATGCGCTCAGGTTTGTCTGAGATAAAGGAACACATGAACTGAGTTGGTCTAAGTTGAATTCTGATTAGGGGATTGATACACCATACATGTGTTAATTATTTGTGGATGATATCTGATTCCATGTAAACTCACCACTATATCTGCCATAAATCTGATTGGGATTATTATCATCCTTATCTGTACTAAACAAATTTAGTACCTATCTGATGTGTGTTTTTATCTGCTGATCGGTTCATATTCTTTTACATCTTTTAGGTGATGACTGGGAGCATGAAGAAACTTTTACTGATGATGATGAAGCTGTTGGTAATGATCCAGAGGAAAGAGAAGATTTAGCTCCTGAGATTCCTGCTCCCCCTGAAATTAAACAGGTATCTTTTGCAGAAGTTTATGGCATGAAATTTTTTAGGCTTATGGCAACTACATCTTCCAGCAATGCTAGGATGAGATTTGATTTGTTGGATTTTTTTTCTTCTTTTTTTTGCATAAGATTTGACACTGCCTTAGATTTTGTCAAAACATAGTTTCTGAGGGACAATGGATTAATTGTTTCTTTAGGGATTTTGGGTCTTTCATCTTTGTATATCTGCCTTCAGATTATTCAATAAGTTGATTTCATCAACTGCATACTGACATGATGCACTCTGAATCATTATATCCTTTTGTATCAGTTTGTGGATCGCTTCTGCTGCTACTGAGCATAAATTCACTAGTCACCCTCACATCTTGTTGCATCCATGGTTTGGGTTGAGTTGTTAATCATTTAGGCTTGTTACTTATTAAGATCAGATCCAGTGAGCTTAGGTTTCTTGATATAGTTTGAATCAATTTTATAGTTATTCTTCGTAGGATTCAGTCTCAGTTCTGGATCAGTTCATGTCCCTTTTCTAGTTGGTTTTAAATTATCATTATTTGGGAAAGGGCCACGAGACATACCGCTAAAGGAGTGGGCAGCTAGGCCCTTAAACAACCAACCATATATGTGTTTTAAGAATCTTGTTTGGACTCAAGTAGGTGGTAATTTATTATATTCTTTGGTTCGAATGTCATAGGTTTTCTTGAACCGACTTAACAGATTGGAAACTGAAATTGCCTTCTGGTTTCTACAGAACACAAATTTTCTTTAAATCCTGGAAGAAATATACTTGGGATCCAGTGCTTGGAAAGAAATTTATAATTGCTATTTACAATGATTATTACATCCTATGAGACTCATTCTGACTGTGTCGCTTTAATATATTTAAGCCGAAAAGTCGTGCCCTTAAATAATGATGTATGGTACTATGGTCTACATTTTATGAATGAAGGAATAAAGGAATCCCTCGTATGCCAGACATGCCCTGGTTGCTCTCTTCTCACTTATAGTAACCCTTTCTTTCCCTGCAGTATTTTCTTCCTACCATCCTTGATCCCTACCTTCTAATGTGCATTCTATTTGCTGTCCTGATCATAGATCTTAAGATGATATCAAATTGATTAGTTGAGATATTCATGATGGAAGGCACCACCATGTGGTCTGAGATTTGGTGCTTTGCTTGCATCACATCTATGATCAGTGGTACTTCTGTTCTTTGATTTACTTTTTTCAGAAGACTTTCATAATTTATGGAAACTTGAGATATGAAGAAAGCAAGTAGTATTATTGTCATGGGCTCGAGAGACTTGTTGACATGGATATGATCGACAGGGCAAACACCCAAAGTCTAGATATGGCGATGCTATATCTATATGTATAAAGCAAATAAATATGCATATGCATTCTATTTGCACTACTGTCTGCACTGTATCTATATAGATGCTGGTGTTTTGATTGATTTATTTTTGAGCGGTTATAGATGCTGAGAACTTGTCGTCATCTAGTAGTTGCTTATCTATATCAGAGAAGCCTTCATTGTTCTCCAACATTTAATAATGATGCAAATTTTAGTAAATATTGAAGCTATTGCTAATTATAAAAAACAGTTTCTGATATTTTAAATTAGTTTATAAAATTAAGAAGCTGTGCCTTTATTCATTTTCTGTTCGTCAAACTTGATTAATATGTTGTCTATATGTTAACTTGGTCTTCTAGGAAGTTTTCTTGGCCAATAATGCTGGTTTACTATTTGTAATGTGCACAGGATGATGAGGAGGAAGACGAAGAAGATGGTGGGTTGAGTAAATCTGGAAAGGAGTTGAAAAAACTGCTTGGACGAGCTGCTGGATTAAACGAATCTGATGGTGAAGAAGAAGATGATGATGACGATGTAAGTGTTTATTTGGCATTTCACAATCTGTGAGTTTGTCTACTCTTTCTCATTGTTTCTCCATGTCCTCTGGATCATAGGATGTGCATGCTGTAATAATTAGTCTGGTAGTCTGGTTGTGCATGCTGTAATAATTACATGTAGGATCCTTTTTTATTTTGCATTGCCTTTTTGACAAGCATCTTTCTTTCCTTTGGACTGTATGAGTCAGTAATTGCTAGATTGTGTGGTAATGCAATACATATACATATATAATTATGTTATTCACAGATTATTTGGCTTATATGTGTTTGGATTTATTTATTTACAACTACACAAGTTGTTAAGATGTTCATGTTGTAGCTATATTTTCTTTTAAGACACACATAGACTCCATTAAAATTTTTGGTCATATGTGTCTCCATCAAAGATCATATCCACAATCATTGAAATGCTAAATTCTTGCAATAAAACTGAGAACGGTATATGAATATATTCTTCACAGTATATATATGATTTCAAATGGTTGCTGCAACATATATATGCATAACATTTAGTGTTTTTGCATACACTAATTACTTCACTGCAGATTAAGCTTTTCAGCTTTTCATTGTTTAAATTTCTCGTGTCATGAACCTTGAGCCACCTCGCTTTTGCGAAAAGTACATTTTTTGAATTGTTTTGACCATTTGGGCACCAAGTTGAAGCTGAGATTCTTCTATGCTGTTGTACTGAAGGTCTCCAACAATTGGAATATTGGAACCTTCACAATCTGAATGTGTACTTTTCTATTATATTATCTTTCTAACAAGCTGAGATTCTTCTGTTGCTAGGATTTATGACATGTTACCAAGTTTATTGGGCTGTCAAGATATTCTATAAATCATATTGTTTCTATAAATCTTAATATTCTGTATTTCATGTCTAGGATGATGAAATTGGCATGTCTCCTGTGCTGGCTCCAAAACAAAAGGATGCCCCCAAAGACGAACCAACAGAAAACACTCCCTCAAAAGCAGCACCTCCCTCTGGATCTGCCCGTTCTACTCCAACTACATCAAAATCATCTAAAGCAAAGAGGAAACCTGGGAGTGATGATGTGAAGAACAATAATGGTTTACCTGTGAAGAAGATGAAGGATAATGTATGTACTCCATTATATGATTCTTAGGATTCTTTGGTTTATAAGTCTTGTTGTTGTCAATGGCATACTGAAGCAAGTGCACTGTTGTTATTCAGTCTTGCATTTATGATAAATCAATTTTCTCTGTTTCAGCCAAGTGCTAAGGATGAGCTTCCCACTTCATCTAAATCTAATGTACCTCCAAAATCATCTCCTGCTACAACTTCCAGACCTGGGTCAACACCTTCTACAGCTCCAGTAACAGAGGATGAAATTCGAACTGTACTCCTTTCTGCCACTCCTTTGACAACACAGGACTTGGTTGCAAAATTCAAAGCCAGGCTAAAATCTCAAGAGGTTTGTTGATATTGTTATTGTTTTACTTTCTCTGAGGTTGATAATGCTGCACAGTTTCTGGCATATAGTTTTCTAGTCCCTAAATCAAACACCAGATTTTTCAGGGTAAAGGTGCAACCAAAGGAAGCCACTCTTTCAGTTTTCATGTTTCTGAAGTTCTTTGATTTCTCAACATCTATAACTTAGCATAGTTACGTACTTTGCCCCAGTAATTTGTAACTCATAGGTCGCTAATCATGAATCATTGTTCCCATTTTTATTGGAAATCTTATGTTGTCGTTCATGGGGATAACCTTACTCCTATGCATGGAGTGATAAGCTTGTCTTACCTCTGTTCCCCAGATTCTATAGTGGTGGGAGACTTGTTTACTGGGTTGTCCAGGGTTGCCTGTTTTGAGCATCTGTATCGGTTCTGCTAAACCCATAACCTTGTCCAACTATACTTGCTCGCTGTGAATACTTGGTTTTGAATGTCTATTCTTCTGTTTAACTGGAATTTCGGAGACCACGATATTGTATAGTTTGGCTAAAACGACTCTTGATTTTGTTATTACATGCTGTCTTTTAGGCATCTGGGAATGTTGCCTAGGTGATGAAGCCTTTGGTTTGAACCTTTCATAGGTAGGCTGATCGACATCGAATTCCCTCAGACCATCTGCAAAGTACTTAGTTTGTTTGGTCAGGTGAATTTATGTGAGTTTGTTTGTCACTGGGGCTTCAATGCTATTTAGGTTTATGAAAACTATGCGAAAAATGTTTCACCTAGGGATCCTTTTAAGTGTTCCATTAAATACTTTTACCTTTTTTTTGTGATTGAAATTTTAGCTCCTGGTTTGTACGCATCACACTCTTAGTTTAGCTATATCACTTCTTAGAACATCTGCAGTTGTTTGGTATGTGTTACACCGTTCAATTGCTTTCTAGCTTGTCAAAAATATATTCATGATTTCTATAACACAATAAAAATTGTTTCAGACTGCTAGTCTCTACTAATGAGATTGCTGCCTTGTCCCTTTCTGGAAAACAACTTGCAATTATCAATTGCTTTATTACCTGATATCACTCAAATAAATTTTTTGCAGGATAAGAATGCCTTTGCGGACATCCTCCGGAGGATATCAAAAATACAGAAGGCTAATGGTCACAACTACATTGTGCTGAGAGATAAATAGTACAGTGTCATATAGTTTCCTCGGCCTTCTGGTGATGTTGCATCAGACTTTTTTTGCCGAGTCTCCAAGGTTACCGCTCCTTCGAGTGCGACAAACACAAATCGGAATAAAAGTGTTATCCAATAATATTTGGAAAGGTTTCGGTGGATACTATAAAAGCAGGCTTAATTGTATATTTGTAGATTGTGTACTCGCCTGACTTTGCATGTGAAGACTCCGTTGCTTCACAGGCTATGCAGTTCTTGAAACCTTACAATGCAGTTGTGGTTGAAATGGCTTAAACTTGTTTAATTGTTCATTTGCACAAATTGATGTAGCTGTGACCTTTTCTTCTTGACTTTTAAATTCTTCACGTATATAGATGAATTAATTTGCACAAATTCATTTGTGCAAATTCTTCACCGCATGGTTGAAATGACTTTTAAATTCATTTGCACAAATTAATCGTATATAGATGAATTACCGTAATTCATCTATATACGATTAAGGTTTTAGGATTTGGAGGGATATGTATGTTAAAAAGTAAATATAGAGGGGAAAATCATGGATTTCGAAGGATGCTTCTGTAATTTTATCATGAAAATAAACAATCATCTTGAAATAGGTTTTCGTATTATGTATTTATTTGAAAAAAAAATGCTCATTTTATTGAAGCATTACAAGTGTCCGAGATAATGGTATTATTATACATTGCGTCTTAACCTAACCACTAGATTGCCTCTTCATAGTATATTAAAGCCAATACGGGTGCATGATTCTTTGTCCTTAATCGCCTCCTTAAATCAATTAAAACCTCTTATCTCGAAAATAATGGTGGATGAAGTTTTAATTGATAATTACTACGGTCAATAGGTTTATGCATAGTATAATTGGTACCAATTAAAAAAGCTCTTATTCTTATCGGTTTACAATTTAGGAAATCAATTAACTAACATAAATTAAAATTTCGAGATACAAATAAGCTGTAATTAGTAGTGTAATAATGTACCCCAAAACCAAAATTGAAAATCCTATATCCACGCGTTACTCCCTCCACCCAACAAACGCTTGACACAGATCTCAAAGCACTCTGCAGCAAACCGCTCCGTTGTTGTACAGCACATATGTCAAAGCACCCTCCACAAAACTGCTCTGCTGCCATACGAGAGAGCGAGAGAGAGAGAGAGAGAGAGAGAGAGAGCAGGCTGGAGAGGAATTCGCGCGCCTCGACGGTCGCCAGCCGCCCGCGCCAGGTACGAAGTCGCCGCTGTCGCCGTGTCCTACGGCGTTGTTATCTTCGTCTGATCATGGAAGTTGCAGCTGTCGGATTGGATACTAGACCTAGAAGGAGGAGGAAGAAGAAGAGGAGGACGAGGCCGGCATCGCTCTAAAGAGGTAGAACTCCTTCGTGCTCAGCCTCCAATAATAGAGTTCATGGATCTGGCAGGTATTTGTCGTTTTGTGAACTACATCGACTAGGTATTTTGCATCATACAATGTGTATCCTTTAACCTTATCTTTCTGCCTTTGCTGAGTAACAATGATCGATTCATGAATAGATAATTGAAGTCTTTTTCTCTAGTTCAGATGCAAAGGCGCATTTTAGTGCGGAATGTAGTCGACGATTTGCTTAACAGATATGATTTCAGAATTTTATCTGCCTTAAGTATTTCAGGAATTTAAGGGTTAGTGCGAACTTGAACTTTTCTTATAATAATTCACCCTGAGAACTCTTTCAAGCTCACTATCAGTAATTTGTCTTTCATGCTTTACGCCACACATTTTTAGAACGTGTATCAATCGGCATTGCTTGGAGTTTCATAGAGGTAAGGATGCAAACATTGACCCTCTTTGGACCTGCATTGGTGGGAGTCTCATGCTTTAGTTTTGCTCTTTATTTTCATTTTCTCTAGAAATTACGAGCCATTTTTTTGGTAAATGAAGTGAGATTGATTGGGAGAAGAATAAATGGGCTGTTCTTTGAGGCTTGTTTGTTGAAAATACAAACACATATGTTGAGACTGGCAGGAAGTATGATCTGGTGAAATAAGTTTGGAGTTCGATACTGGATCCATCCATCAGGCAGAGAAATGGGCTTCTGATATGATAGATATGAGCCTTTCACAAGCATGAGTAGATTTTCATTTCTTCACAGACAAAACACATTCAAGATTGTTTTGTTGTTAACAGTCTCTGTAATTTCTGCTAAACAAATCACCCTTGTTAAAGTGCATAATGTATATACTCTGTACGTCATTGAACACAAAAGAAAATCAATACATTGTCTGTCAATACAACCTTAATAAATTTGGATGTAATAAAGCCACAGTGAGAAAGTCGATAATTAATCTGTTTTTGTGAAAAGCTCATAGGTCAATAACAAATCAAAGCCAAATGAAAAAAAAATCTCAATATAGAAGCTAAAATTGGCAGATTCTGGTAGATTTTATTTGAGAAAAAAATTACCTTAGGTAAAATCATTAAAATACCTGAAAATCATTAAAATTTAGCTGAGAAAGCTAATATGACTTTGTGAATTTCCAGGAGTAGGCTTTTTTGGTACATTTATTCAGCCAACTGTGAATCTGCAAACTCTTCAAATTTTATCTTGTTTGCTTGACTATACAAGATGGTAACTTTTATCATTTCTTCTGGGAGGTCTCACATCCACAGAGCAGCATAGAAAATACATTAAGTGCCAAGTATAGGTAATCTGTCAACCAGTTGCCCGTGTCCAAGTCCACTGGCGCTCAACTACCAAAAGACAAAAGTTCTCAAGCTGGTTGAACAAACTGTGTCCCTTTCTTTTGATTTCATCAATAGTTTTCCATATGGGTATTGCTTAAATCTTGACTTGTGCTCTTGTCCAGTGATTTAAAAAGTGCTAGGCGCCAAAAGGCGCTAAGGTCAAAAAACGCCCGAGGCGCTAGGCGCTCGCCCGAGCGAAACGAGGCGCTAAAATATAAAAATATATAATATAATTAATAAATATAATTATTTAAAATTTTAAATAAAAATATGCTATTAAATTAAGAAAATCTAAGATACAAAATCATAATGTCACATTAACAAAAAGTTTCAAAATTTAAAATAATATATTATTAATCTAATAAATACAAATACTATTATTAGTATACTGTTAACAGTATACAGAAGGAGAAGAAGGAAGAGAAGTGTAAGGGGATGCTAACTGAGAAAAGAGGAAGTGGCA